TTCTGTCCTCTTTTAAGATTAAGATTTGGATGGTCTGCAATAAGCTTTTCAGTTACTTCCCTTAAACCTGATTTATTCTTTTTTTTATGTACTCCAAATGGATCAAAGCAGAAAGTCTGCCTTAATATATAATGAGTCTTGCTTTGTGACATCTTGAAATGACTTCAGAAACTATTCTGAAAAATCCTGATACTGCAGGTCAGTGCTAATCTGGGATTTTCCAATGGGAATACCAGGTTCCTATTTTGAAATTCAAAGAAATATCCACCTGGAAAATCCCAAGGAATTTCCACCTGAGAATTTTCAAGTGATGCAAGTTTAATTTTCTCATACCTACATATAAAACTAAGCAGTATGGTGTACTATAGGTTTTCCTATATAGGTACAATACTGTGTTATTATACGGAAAATGCAATTTCGAATTGACAAGTATACATAATACTTGCTCATTGTTCAGGAACTTTTGGAGCGCCCATCACCAAACTTATAGGGAAGCTTCTTTACATCATTAGGTATCTATTTTGTAGCCTTGACGACCTAGTTACTGTCTCTTATACACATCTAGATATTCAACTTTGAACTTTACAACCTGTCATAACTTTTTTATATTTGAATTGAGGACTTAGCATTTATTAATAAAGTTATAGAGCTACTCAATAGCTTTAAAATGACACCAAAATCAGCTCTGTAGGTGCTATACTTTTCGAGATATGGTCGGTTAAACACGCAAGGTATCGCTAATTAGCCAAAAGTTCGTTAGCAGATATCTCGCTAATTAGGAGGCCTAGAGAAAAAATTTTTCATTTCTGATAATTTTTCATGGGTCCCAACAACATACAAAAATTTGAACAAATTCCGAGAGATTGAGGTTTTTTTTTGGTTGATTTGACATGGAATTAATTAACAAATAACATTAAAATGCGTCAAAATGTTACATTACATTAATTAAAAAATAAAAGTAAATTAACAAAAAAAAAGGACAAAAGATAAAGACATGCCTACATTACGGTATGGTACTGCATGTTCGTGTATTTACTTTATTTCTTTGTTGATAACAACATTCATATGTGACGACAAATTAATATAATATAGATTTAAAGGCCAGCTCCGGGCAAAAATTTTGTATTGATTATATTTTATAGTTATTATCAATCTATTGATTCACATATGTTTTGAGATTTTTCTGAATTTTGTTTTGCTACATGATTTTTTTGAAAATAAGTACTTTTTTGAAAGTGGGGGTATAGGTAAACTTGCCCAGCAAAATTCCTATTCTTTTGCACACAAATGACCTTAAGAGCAGGCATTTTGAAAAATTCATAACAAATAAACAATAGGGCAAAAAATTACACTAAATGACTAAACTGGGGTGAATTTAGTCAAACTTTTTGTTTCTGGAGTTCATTTTACGTCAATACGTATTTCTGCGCAATTATCATTTATTCCCCACCGTACCCACTTTATTTTTTTCACTTTCCAGGGAGTCAATCGCTCTGAGCTTTGCGCATGCGCTAACTTGCCAATCCATTCTGCTGCTCTCGCTCGCTCCGATCCTTTCGTGTAAAAAAAGTGCGAGCGAGAAGATGACAAGTATGATGAATAAAAAAACTAAACACAGGAGTAGGCCTATTTTGGTTGAGTAGTAATGGTGAAAAGATAGACGGGAAGGTTTGGTGGTAGATTTGATCGATCTAGGTCTAGCTATGGATGCCTTTGAGCCAGAGGTGAGGCCTAGGCCCCCTATATCGTCGACAGAAGGTACCTATACCAGCCCAGCGGGATTCATTCCCAGCCCGGCTAGGAGGATGGATGAGTTGAGACGATTGGGTCGGTTGTCGTTGTTATGTGGTATCATTTGCTACTTAAGAATTGAAGGAAAAATGGGAGACCACAGTTGTGTGACGATGATAAATTCTAGAAACTGTGCCTTGATATTAGGATGTTTCAAACTCGTCTAAGAATCAAAAAAGAGAAATTCTCAGAGAATAAACGAGGCAACAACATGCCTTACATTAATAACTATAGTACAGTAGAACCTCGTTTTTACGTACCCCAGTTATACGTTTTTACGTACGCCTCGTATCGACGATCAAAAACCCCGAAAATATTCAAAACAAACGACCCTTTTCAGAGCAACCATAAGTAAAAAGACTATTACAATAAACTATAACAATAAACAAACCATAATAATGCAACGTATTTTCATTAAACAACAATATTG